CCTCCTGTACCACTATCCCCTCCCTCCTAGATTGTAAGCTCGAAAGAGCAGGGCCCTCGATCCCCTCATATTTTGCATTGTATTGTTATTGTTCTGTCACATGTTCTGTCCCCCTTGCCCCCCCCCCCCCCCCTTTGTAATGTACAGCGCTGAGCAAACTATTGGCGCTTTATAAATACTGTATAATAATAATAATAATAATGCTAGACATTCCTCTCTGCCTTAGTAATCTCTATCTTTATACACGGGTTACACAAAAAATTGATACACTACATGATTTGCAGGTGTGAAAGTGACAGCATGTTTCGCATTAAAAGCGGAAGTGATGTAACATTATTTTGCTTCTGCTGTGTGATGAGACACCTAGCTAACAGGTGGGAAGCCTCATTTTCCTTGTTCACTGTGTGTGCTGCTTGTAATATGGAGTCATGTCAGAGCTCAGTGAGCTTCAAAAAGGGAACATTGTTCGTACGCACTTAGCTGGTGCCTCTAACTGAGGTTGCCAATTTATTTGCCATGTCACGAGGTACAGTTATGACGGCATATACAGTTTCTGTGAAAACATCGTCTGATAAGCATAAGTACGGTCAACATGGTCAACTGACCGAAAGAGACAAAAGGACATTGCGCAGGATTGTGACCCGGAATAAGAAAACAACATCTGCAAAATTGACTGCAGAGCTCAATCTCAGTGAATATATACAGTATATATTTGCCTGAAGTTCCCTATAGGAACACAAACACTTCCTGTGTTGGCCAACATGAACAGCATGTGAAACCCAAGAAGAAGAATGACTTCATGATGAAAGTAATTAAACCCAAAACAAACAAAGAATGTGCGCCAAGTTTTATAACAAATACTTCTAGAGGTTCTTGTAAGTAGAGCATGAACTGATAATCCGAATACACCTTCCTACTTGTAACATTTTCTATGTATGCCTTATTTCTTTAGTTTATTAAATGTTTTTGCTCCACGTTTTATAGAGCATGAACAAATAATGTGAGTTTAGAACGCAGAGAAAGGGACTTTACTAAATGCATTGAAAATACCTTCTCAGATCACATTTTGACACAGCTAATATAAATGTAATTATAAGATGCGAACATGTTTTTCGTTCTAAAGTATATTGTTCTCATCAGTTATACGGTCAATAGAAACACAGATCTTAGATGCTGTCTGGCTGGTGAACATCCTTTACAAACTGTTGCACACAGGGGCGGACTGATCATTTGGAAACTCTGGCACTGCCCGGGGTCAGTAGGGGGCCCCATGAGATGCCCCTGGTACCTTTTTCATAGGCTTTTTTGAGTTTGGGCAAGGACACAGGGGCCCCATGATCCCCTATTGCCCGGGGGCCCCATGAGTTGTCAGTCCGCCCCTGGTTGCATATGTACTGGCCCTGGCCATGATAGCTATGTCTGTCACCCCAGCCATCCAATGAGTGCACATGAATAGGACCCGGTGGTGGAAGCAAAACTGTTAGGCTGCATGCAGGGCAGCACACTGAAGATTACTGAAATTGTGAAATAGAAACAATTATTATACAGGATTAATGGTAAGTATTGGACAGGATGGGTTGCATTTAAGGGGTGGGGGTATGCCTTAAAGGACAAATTGAACCAAAGGTACAGTTATCCTTAAAGGCAAAGTTCACCTAAAGGAACCTGTACTCTGCTAGCTCTGTTTAACCTGCATTTGCAACACTCCCACCTAGAAAGCAGTTAAAATCAATAAGAGAGTGCAAAGACCTCTTTTTTTCACAATCCCTATATAGCCTTGGCCATATAAAAATACTGGACCACTTAGCCTATAATAATCTTGTCTCTTGTGTATCTCTTGCTTCTCCATAACTGCCACAACCTGGACTCATTTCTAAAAAAGTGAAATAAAAATGTTTCTGGTATTCTAAGAAGCTAAAATGTACCAGGACACATAACATATGCACTTTGTGGTTTGCACATTTCTTGTGCATAGGACAGTCCATTAAAAATTAATGTGCTGCCCTAAAATGCAACGCACAGGAACGTGCAAAAAGCGTGCAGCTCAGACACACCTTCTAGTGTGAACGAGACCTAAAGAGTCTCTGTTACCACCTCAAAAAAGTGTTTTTTTTTATCCCCAGTAGTAATTCAGAGGCCAACGAGAGCTGTCAAGAACTCTTCAAGGGAGCAAAGATTTGACTCTCCACCTGTTGGAAAGGTATAAAGTATACTATATATAATCAACGGCCACTTTATTAGGTACCCCCTGCTAGTATCGGATTGGACCCCCTTTTGCCTTCAGAACTGCCCTAATTCTTCGTGGTATAGATTCAACAAGGTGCTGGAAACATTCCTCAGAGATTTTAGTCGATATTGACATGATAGCATCACACAGTTGCTGCAGCTTTTTTGGCTGCACATCCTGGAACAATTGATACAAGACAGGATGGATCCATGCTTTCATGTCGTAATTAGCAATTTGTGTTACCAAGAAATTGAACAGGTGTACATAAAAAAATTGGCCGGTGAGTGTATACTATATACACTATATTACCAAAAGTATTGGGCCAGCCCTCCAAATCATTGGATTCAGGTGTTCCAATCACCTCCATGGCAACAGGTGTATAAAATCAAGCCCCTAGGCATGCAGACTGCTTCTACAAACATCTATAAAAGAATGGGTCGCTCTCAGGAGCTCAGTGACTCCAAGCGTGGTCCCGTGATCAGTGGCCACCTGTGCAATAAGTCCATCCGTGACATTTCCTGGCTACTAAATATTCCACACTCAACTGTTAGTGGGATTATAACAAAGTGGAAGCAACTGGGAACAGCAGCAACTCAGCCAAGAAGTGGTAGGCCACGTAACATGACATAGCGGGGTCAGCGCATGCTAAAGACCTCCGAACTTGGTGTGGCCTTCAGATTAGCACAACAGTACATAGAGAGCTTCATGGAATGGGTTTCCATGGCTGAGCAGCTGCATCCAAGCCTTACGTCACCAAGTGCAATGCAAAGCGTCGGATTCCGTGGTGTAAAGCACGCCACCACTGGACTCTAGAGCAGTGAAGAAGTGTTCGCTGGAGTGACAAATCATGCTTCTCTGTCTGGCAATCTGATGGACATGTCTGGGTTTGGCTGTTGCCAGCAGAACGGTACTTGCCTGACTGCATTGTGCCAAGTGTACAGTTTGGTGAAGGGAGGATTATGGTGTGGAGTTTGACTTTCAGGGGTTGGGCTTTGCCCCTTAGTTCCAGTGAAGGAAACTCTTAAAGTGGAGTTCCACTCGACCTATAAAAAAAAAAAGTCAGCAGCTACAGAAACTGTAGCTGCTGACTTTTAAAAAACACTTTTTTCACTTACCTGTCCCTCGGTCCCGTGGTGTGTCCCCTGCAGGTCGTTTCACCGGCTGTCCTGGATTCTAGGAGGCCGGCATCTTCAGTGTGGGCACCCGGCTGTGATAGCTTGCGACTTCATAGCCAGGTACTCACTGCGCATGCGCGAGTAGCGCTGCGCTTCGTGAATGGTCCTGTAGTCTTCTGGGACCTGTCACATGTCCCAAAAGACTACAGGGAGGGAGGGAGGACACCTTCCGTTTCCAATCGCCTAGGCAGTAGGAGCGGGTACCTGTCAGCCCCCCCCCCCCGCTCCTTAATGGGGAGCGGGGGACATTGTGGACAATTTCATGCTCCCAACTTTGTAGGAACAGACATGGATGAGCCAGTTTGGGCTGGAGGAACTTGACTGGGTTGCACAGAGTCCTGACCTCAACCCCATAGAACACCTTTGGGATGAATTAGAGTGGAGACTGTGAGCCAGGCCTTCTCATCCGACATCAGTGCCTGACCTCACAAATGCACTTCTGGAAGAATGGTCAAACTTTCCCATAGACACCCTCCTAAACCTTTAAACCTTCTGGACAGCCTTCCCAGAAGAGTTGAAGCATTTATAGCTGCATAGGGCGGGCCAACTCAATATTGAACCCTACGGACAAATGCAGGAATGCCATTAAAGATCATGTGCGTGTAAAGGCAGGTGCCCCAATACTTTTGGCAGTATAGTGTGTGTGTGTGTGTGTGTGTGTGTGTATATAGAGAGAGAGAGAGAGAGAGAGAGAGAGAGAGAGACAGTATATAAATTATATATAAAGCCTTTTTTTACAAGGTGATTGCAGTTTTTATGTTAGGGTAGCAACAAGGTCACAAGACAGCATACCTGGTACTTCAGGTGCAGCCTGGCCAGACTTCAGCAAATCTTACTGTCAGGTCTGACTACATCTGACTATTATACCAAACTTTAGCACAAAATTCTCTCATAGGGAATCATTGTTTTTTTATTATTTACATGTATTCTCTGCCAATCAAATAGGACATGCACAGGCCTGAGTTGCGTGCTGATGGCAGACACTAAAAAATGTCATCTAACAAAGCTGCCATCAGAATGACATGAAAGAAAAGCTTTGTTAATTGACTGTTTTATCATCCACCGGCAGTCTGGACCATGTCAGATATCAGCCCTGAGCTGAGCCAGGAGAAATGTCAGCCTGTATAACGGGACCTACAGCCTAACACTGCGATGACATCTCTACTCTGACAGGAGGACACTATCAAGTGAGTAACATGCTGTATCTACGCCAAGATACATCCATCTTTTATCATAATGAGAAAGAACGCCTGAAGCTCTTGAAGGGCCTGTAATGTATAATCTCTCCCAGTGTAGAGGAGACGATTAGAGAAGGCATGCAGTATGAATACAAGTCATACAATTGAAATACAAAGAAGTGATATGATGACAATTGCGTGATCATGCAACGTTGCACCCAAATTAAGTTTACGTCCTTTTTTTCCCACAAATAGACCTTTCTATTTATTTGATCGCCTGTGTGGTTTTTATTTTTTGCGCCATAAACAAATATTTTTGACTTTTTGCTATTAAACATGTCCAGTAAAAAAATTTAAAAAATCAAATTCTGTAATTTTAGGGCAAAACGTATTCTACTATATGTCTTTGCTAAAAAAAAAAAAAATCCCAATACATGTAAATGAATTGGTTTACGTGAAAGTCATAGTGTTTACAAATGGGGGTATATATACTGGAATTTTTTTTTCTTTCACTAGTAATGGTGGTGATCAGCGACTTATCCAACACAACAAACACTCTACTCCTGCGCTAGGGAAAGGACTCAGTAGACCCAATAGGAATGTTCTGGAATTTTCTGGAATATGCACTGCTTGCTGCCCTCAACAGACCGGGGTGGTCCAAATACACTGGATGCAAATGGAGAAACAGAAAAAGGGCGCACCGACCTAGTGCATTATCGTTTAAAATATTTATTGAAGAAACAAAGTAAGTATCATACTCACAATAGACATAAAAACACAGGCATGTCAAACTGAAGAACCCAGGGCTATGAGGAAGAGGTTGTGTCCTCGAAACGCGTTAGCCAGTTGGTCATCCAGGGTTCCGTCGTATGGACTCAGATGTTGTTTGGATCATACATCTTGTTCAGTTTGACATGCCTGTGTTTTTATGTCTATTGTGAGTATGATACTTACTTTGTTTTTTCAATAAATATTTTAAACGATAATGCACTAGGTCGGTGCGCCCTTTTTCTGTTTCTCCATTTGCATCTAGATCAGCGACTTATAGCGGGACTGTCGTGGGCATTCTGACACTGGGGGAACTGACTTGGTGTCACTGACATTCCCAGTGACACCAATACAGTGATCCATGCTAATAAAGAAGCACTGACACTGTAATAATGACACTGGGCAGGAAGGGGTTAACATCTGGGGTGATCAAAGGGTTAATTGTGTGCTGTTTTACTGTGTGCTGTTTGTGTGTGCTTTACATTGTAAGCACACTGATTTGTATGGCTCTACTATGCAGTGTGCAAGAGCTGACAGGGGAGAGATCTATATTGTATACATACAGGTCTCTCCCCCATTAGTGATATTTGGCGATGCTGGTGGGGAATCACCGGCCGGGACCTGGTAATCGACAGCCCAAGCCGCCAGTCCCCTACCCGCAAATGCAAAAATCACGTATATATACGTGATTTTGCACAGCCCTGCTGCCCTGTAGCAGTATTTCTGCTATAGGGTGGCGGGTAAGTGGTTAAAGAGCCTGTAAACCCTTACATATACTTAATGAAGTGACTGGCCTCAGGTGATACGCGGAGAGATGAAACAAATCCTACTACATATGTTGCATCTGTTTATCTACTGCAGATTTTACAGACGAAGTGCTGAATTTACACAGGATCCCTCAGTTCTGAAAAGCAGGGGGTGGGGAGCTGAAGTTACATCAGTAAGAAGAGCTCTGAGAGCTGATTGAAGGGAAGGGACACACCTCCTTCACACAGCACATTGGAACAGAGATGAGACTGTCAATCACAGGCTGTGCCCTCCCGTCACCATATTTCTTTTGGTGTCAGGAAAATTTGTCAGAAGTGATTCAGCTTATGAGGAAGGAATGAGGCAGCAGACAGAAATGACACTTAATGCTCTGGATTGAGACAAGTACACACAATAGAGGGATATGCTTTGTTCATTTCATATCTGAGGTTTACAACCACTTAATTTCTCAAAGAAACCACAAGACCAATGCCTCAGCACTGTATGTGACTGAATTAACGATAGAAACTCTGGATGATTCTGTGGCTCTAAATTGAATCCCAAATACCCTTCAAAAAATGTACTTTTTCACATTTCCTAAGCTGCTGTGCACATTACACTAATTATTTACTCCATTGCTTGTTCTCCAAACCCCACTTTCATTCAATAAATGTTAAGCCCTGATGATGAGGACACCCTTTGTCTCCCAAAGTTCACTGGATAATTGTTTAGAAAATATTCAACTGTTTTAATGGAATAAAATTTGTGTTTAGACTCTAACTTTGGGTGTGGTGTTCCATTCTTGTTTTGTTGGTTCTTATCGGAAGCGTTCCTACGTGATCTTCAGTATTGGTGATCAGCCTAATAAGCTGAGCGCATTTTAAGATACTCAACCACACACAAACCAATAGGAACTGATGTTTTTTTGGGACCCAGTGGAACCTGCCCTCCTTTAAAAAAAAATTTCTGTCTGTGTCCACATTAGGAAGATTCACTCTACTTTCACTTTGTCCAGATGACCTTGACCACTGGAACAAAATTTAAGGTAAAATCTAAAATTTTAAGTTTTCCCCTTTTTTTTCCCCCTTTTTTTTCTGGTTAACTAGGACATGACACTAGTGTATTATAGAATTGGGAAGAACAGTCTGGATAAAAGCACACAGATGTGTCCCAAAGGAAATGAGTGAATGGTATATGTTAACTGTGATTGGTGGGGAAAAAAACTCACTGCTGCCATGGTAAAAACACATCGGTTTGTGGGAAGTATGAACAGGAGCCAGGCGCTGTGTAGTTTTGTGATAAAAGTAATACACCCGACGTCCCAGCGTCCTGGATGACGTCACCACGATGTGGAGAGACGGAGGGGGGGAACTCTTGCTGGAGCCGCAGCTGTAGAACGAAGATGCCGGTTGCCGGGACAACATGTTTCGCGCACATCGTGGTGACGTCATCCAGGGCGCTGGGACGTCGGGTACACGTGGTCCCTGCACTGACAGGTATTCTACTCCACTGCTTCCCTCTGAGCGGGCGGGCCGTCCATCTTGGAACCTGGCTTCTTAAAGTCACAAGCTGGTTATTTATTTTTTACCGTATGAATTATTAAAGGCACACTTCCATATAAGGTGTATTACTTTTATCACAAAACTACACAGCGCCTGGCTCCTGTTCATATTATAGAATTGGGAGTGACCTGACACCCGACTACGCTCCAATATCCCCTCCCTTCTCTTGTCTAAAATTTTAAGTTGTCACCAGAACAGGCATACAGGGGAATTCTTCCAATGGGGTCACTTGTGCTGATGAAACAGTCTGAGAGGAGAATTCCTTTCACATTGTAGATATTTCCTCTTATGTCTTTTATGTCTCCGAGACAAGAAATTAGGGAGAAAGATATACAGTAAAAAAAATAGACCAAGAAGAGTTTTAACTATTACCCAACTCTATCCACAAATATTGCCTATATATATATCGGCTGTACCAAAAGTAATGCAAAACTGGGTATAATGTTTTTATTAATTTACCTAGGTTCTTCTAATTCCACAAGTTGGTAGAGTTAGGCCTAGTTCACAATGGCAAGGAAAGCAGGGGGGGTGTTTTTAATGCTCATCAAATGCAGACTTAAATGATATTATGGACATATGGTTCACATTATCAAAACAAGAAGCGTTAGCATTGCGTTGCTGCACATTGGAAGCCTCATGTTGAGTCTGAAAGACAAAAGTCTTTCAGCGCCTCCCATTCAAGTCTATGGTAGCACTCCGCAAATGCCCTGGCAAGCATTTGCACTATGGTTACAGTGCGATTGTTAATAAATTTATAGTTTATTATAAGCATTTGTGGTGTGGTCTTAACGTGTCAAACATGCAAAAAATGCACATACGGCATTTGGGGAACATTTCTAACAAGCGTTAAATACGAGTCAAACACACCTATTAACGCGCATTAATGCTATATGTGCATTTGTTAAGAGTTAGTATTTTGAGTCAAGTGTGAACAAGCCCTAACTCTTCCTTTATAGTAACTCTTCTTTTTTTGCAATGCAGGTAAATAATGGATTCCAAGCAGAAGCAACATGCCATCATTGAGTTCTTGACGGAGGAGGGGTGCAGGCTGTCCAAGATCCACAAAAGGCTATAGAATGTTTATGGAGATTACACCATTGACAAGAGTCACCAGTGACAAGACATTGCTCATCAGTGGTGTAATCTGTAGCCTTCATTGGATGATGGACAGCCTGCACTCCGCCTTCGTCAAGAACTCAATGACGGCATGTTGCGTCTGCTTGGATTCCATTATTTATTTGCAATGAAAAAGAAGAAGAATGAATCGACCATCATGGGAAATTTGAACAATCAATGTAAGTCAATAAAAAAGGTATGCCCACTTTTGCATTACTTTCGGTATATATGCACTCATACATACTTTAACCATGACCGTTGCTGAGGACTCTGTAAAGCGGAGCTCCACCCAAAAGGAGAAGTTACGTTTTAATGACTGCTCCCCATTAAGGATTGGCACCTTTGGGGGGCGGGGGGGGAGAGCGGGTACCCGAATTGACAGGTACCCGCTCCTACTTTCGGTCCGATCGCCTAGGCGATTGGAAACAGAAGGTGTCCTCCCTCCCTTCCTTCCTGTAGTCTTTTGGGATACGTGACAGGTCCCAGAAGACTACAGGACCATTCATGAAGAGCAGTGCTTCTTGCGCATGCGCAGTGGGTACCCGGCTGTGAAGCCGCAAGCTATCACAGCCGGGTGCCCACAATGAAGATGCTGGCCTCCTGAAATACAGCATGGCTGGTGAAACGGGCTGCGGGGGACACACCACGGGATTGAGGGGCAGGTAAGTGGCTGTTTTTTAAAAGTCAGCAGCTACAGACTTTTATTTTTTGTAGGGTGAGTGGAACTCCGCTTTAAGGCTCCATGCACACTGGACTTTTTAATAACGTTGGTAACGTTAGCTGTGTAAAGTCGCATCAAAAATGCAAGTTTTTCAGCGTTTTTGCATTAGCACTCACCCGTATTTTTCCGCATTTGTGTTTTTTTAGTATTTTTTAGTGGGTTTTTTTTTACACAAAAAAAATAAATAAAATTTTTGCAAAAAAAAAAAAAAACGCCCATAAACACTGGTTTGCCGCGTTTTACAGCGTTAGAGCATTTTTACAGCTAAAAAACTCCTCTAGAAACCCACTAGTTCTAGTTTTTCTACGCCCCTACCAAAAAACACTGATTAAACCCTCTGTGTGCATGGACACATAGGATAACATGCTGGGGGGTTTAGTGGCTGTAAAAAAAAAAGGCCAAAAGCCAAAAAATCAAAAAGCTGTAAAAATGTCCAGTGTGCAGGGGACTAATTCCCCCGCCAGGGGTGGACTGACAACTCATGGGGCCCCTGGGCAATAGGGGATCATGGGGCCCCTGTCCTTGCCCAAACTCAAAAAAGCCTATGAAAAAGGTACCAAGGGCATCTCATGGGGCCCCCTACTGACCCCGGGCCCTCGTTTCCAAATGGTCAGTCCGCCCCTGTCCCCCGCTGATTGCAGAGTGTGGGCAACCCTTAGGTAACCTACAAGATCTGTACTTATTATGTACCATACAAGGAAGAAAACAGACACTCATCTTCATCCTAGCAGCAGGAATGTGTTGTGTCTCTGCCAAACATTCCCAGTACAATATTGCAAAAAGAATAATTAGGAGACACTAGAATTTGACACAGCAGCAAAACATCTTTCCTTCCAAGCAGAAAGCTATCAAAGCCTAGCAGCACTTAGTCTCATGTGGTGTTCCTGATATACAAAGCTCCAGTTAATTGCCGCATATTATTAGAGAACCATAACATTTCCTCCAGGAAAACGCTGACTTCATCACTCTGACAGAACTTAGAAGAGGTCAGGCCTGGGTGCAGCCAGAACATGGAATTTTAGGGGAGGAAACTCAAACGGGAACTCGAACTCAAGTGCTGAAATGTTCTCATTGCAACATGACTATTTAAAGCTTGGAAAGGACGTATTAGAAAGGAGGCTTTGAAACATTAGTCTTTGATTTGTACATGAGTAAAAGCGTTAGACTATTTGCACACAGGAGTCTTAAGTTTCACGTTTTGATCCACTTTTATTCCTTCTTTTATTTCGATATTAAAAAGAAACAGATCTTTTATTTGCCTCTTTCTCCTCTTTCCGTTT